CTAACATCTGAGGGGAACGCTCACTCTCGGAGCCCAGGCCAACTGAGGTGACACCCAGAGAGAGACAGCTGATGTCCTCCTTCGGGGACAGGCGAGACTCTTCCGCCCCAGAACCCTCAGCGCTCACGCACAGTCCAGCAGCGTGGGGCACGTGCGAGCAGTGAGCATCGGCACTCCCCCAAGGTGAAAGCTGGCGGCTACGTCATGGGCAGAGAACTCCCTGGGGTCTTGGTCAACGCCACTCAACATTGAATACCAGGGGTCTTCGTCACCATGGTCACTGGGGACAGTTCTCCCTCCTGCCCACGAGGTGCCTCGTGAGGGGTACACTGCGTGGGCATCCATGTTCATCAGACCAGACCAGCCTGCCAGTCCTGAGGCGAGGTCCCAAGTGGAGGAGTGGCAGGGTCACTGCGCAGCCTCAGACACCACGACTATCACAAGGACACACCTACTTGGACGGACTCAGCCAGCCCCGGAACAGCACCACGCACAGCATGTTGGCCTCACCCATGGAAGCCATGTCTGTCCTCACTGCAGAGATGGCAGCAGGAGGAGACCAAGGACCAGAGGCGTCACCAGGGCGACACGCACGCAGGATCCAGTGCACCAGCAATCTGGCTCCAGAGGGCTTGCTGCCTCTTATGGGGGCATGTGGTACGGCACCAGAAGTAACCCTCTCAGACATTCGTCCCCTAAACCTGGCCTTGGAGAAGACGGCACGCAAGGGACAGGCTCAGGGCTGGAGATGTGGATCAAGCAGTAGCGCGCTCACCTGGCATGCGTGCGGCCCAGGTTCGATCCTCAGCACCACATACAAACAAAGATGTTGTGTCTGCCAATAACTAAAAAATATTAAAATTCTCAAAATAAGTAAATAAATAAATCTTAAAAAAAAAAAAAAAAAAAGGGACAGGCTCAGAGTGACTTCTGCTCTGAGAGGCATCACCAAGAGGTCATGAGACCCCTATGACTCTGCTACCACTCCACCCCCTGCATCATTCATTCACGTCCACAACGAGCACCTCCTGCGCACTCTTGCAAGCCCACAGTGGCCCCGGCCAACAGCATCGCAAGACAGTGGGTGGGAAGCCAGGGCTGGTGGGGGTTGTACCTTGGCTGTGTCCCACCATATCCCCAATCTGTCAGCACCAGGACACAGCAGGCATGTGCCAAAGGAATGCAACAACCAAGGAAACTGGTCTGCAGGAACCCGGGATAGGAAAAAAATCCTTTTTAAAAAAACACCTACAGAGGGCTGGGGATATAACCCAGTTGGTACAGAGCTTGCCTTGCATGCCGAAGGCCATGGGTTCAATCCCCAGCACCACACACACACACACACACACAAAAGTGCAAAAGCAAAACAAAACGCACTTAGAGGTAACGAGGAATGTGCCAAATTTTAATTTATATTCTTTTTGCAACAAGACTGAGATGTCAGCTTCAGAATTCGTGTTCGCTCTCTGCTCAACCAGGCAATCCCCTAGCAGGAACCATATGATTTTAATGCACAGATGAATTTCAATCAGACATCTATCTAACCATGCTGATGGGTTTTAAACTTAACCCTGAATTACAGTCCTTCTGAATAACTCTGCTCCCCCTGCTTCTCTCTCTCTCCAATTTTGGTTTGGTTGTGTGAGAGGTCTGCTGGTAAAAATGAAGCAATACCAGTAACTTATCTGCAAATTACGGGAAGGAGAAAGTAGGTTAAAAAAGACCAAGAAACTAAAACAAGTTTGATCAAACCACATCCGAGTCAGGCAGGAAACAATAGGAGACTCTTCTCGAGAGCTCCCAGGGAAGGAGGTGAGTGGCACAGGACCACTGTCAAGCAAGTCAACGGGGGATTCGCCTGATGCATGCTCTTCCCGAATTTCAGCTGCAGTCATCAGAATACAACCAGCTTTGACTCGCACCTGGGGAAAGGCAGTAACCGGAAGGAGAAAGCCTGCACTTTCACTTTGGCTGGCAATTCCTTCCACACTCGAAAGCCTCATTTTCAGTTCAGACATCCATCCCAACCAGCAGTTGTGTCCCAAAAGTGATCTGTCACACCAGAGACGGGACGTCCACTCCAAGAAGAGGCCAACACAAGGGCAGGTCTCCCACACTCCCTCTGACGGGAGGACGCACCTGAGCAGGTGTCCCAGGCTGAGCAGTCACCAGAAACCCGCATGGGCCTCTGCCTCCAGACATTCTGCAAACCCAGAATGTCACATCAATATCCTGCTTGGCTACCCTACTCGAGTTCCCCAAGATGTCACCACTGGAGGAAACTGAGGAACAGTTTCTGAAGACTGCATGCAAATCTACAATCATCTTAGTAAAAAACTCCACTGAAAAACCTGCATGTCCATTGACGAGTGGGTAAAGAAGATAGGTATCACAGATGATGCAATACCAGCCTTAAGGAGAAAAAATCAAAAAGGAGTTTCTGCCACAGGTGACACTTGGATGGGCCTTGAGGACACACTAAGTGAAACAGGCCAGACACAGGAGGACACACACTGTGACTCCTCTTACACGAGGCACCTGACACCGCCCAACTCACAGAAGCCGAGAGCAGAACGAGGCATGGGTGAAAGGCCTGGGGAGGGAGCGGGCAGCAGGCATTATTCAGTGGGACCAAGTCTCTGCAGCACGTGCAAAGCGCACCGCACCCCCAAGGTGAACGGTCCCGGAGCCTTGCACAGCACTGGCCTGCAGCAACAACACAGTCTGCACCCAGAGCGTTGTTGATAGACCTCATGTTAAGTGTTCCTGCCATGATTTAAAGCCCTCTATGACCTCCAGACCCCAGAGGTCTGTGAACGCATCCTTGCGACACCAAGTCTGAGCCACACTGCAACGCCAACAGTCTGTGAGGAACCCTGGGCAGCTTCGCGGGGCCTGGAAATCACATGCCACAACAAAGTCCAGAGGGACCAGATGCGGCTTGAATTGTTACAATGTAAATGAAGTGTCAATTAGCAGCAGGCTGGGTGGGGACAAGGCAAACTTAATGGCAAACACATGTCTCATCAGACGGGGGTCGGGGGGCAACTCCGTGAAGCTTCCTGCAAAAAACACATGCGTAATGGAGACCAGATCTTCCGAATCTCAAGAGGCTCCAGAAATCTGTACTCCAATGTGAAACTTCATAAATTTTAATATCAGTAATTCATAACTTTTTCTTTTAAACGCTGTGAAGATCAAACCAGGTTTGGGAATGTACAAGGGCCACGCTGCAACCTGCTGGGCACTGGACAGACCTGGAACACGTCTTCTCCCTCACCCACAGCTCTGGGGCTGGCTCTCCCTGTCGTCTAAGTGGAGTGAAACTACTTGCCCAGGTCACCCGGCTGGCGGGTACTGCTCGCTCTGACTGGATGACCCAGCGATTCTGACGACTCAGCCTCCTGTGGCTTGCACCGGTTTAGTGAAGCTGGTTTAGGAAGTTGCAGGGAAGGGCCTCCAGCTCCCTGACCACCATGGGATGTCGGAGACAGACCTCTACAGGAGTCTTTTCTGCTCAGCACTTGCCATGCCACCCTCTTACCAATACTTCTCCTTCCCCTCAGAGCACTTACAAACTCGAGAGAGTACATTTATTTACATATTTGACCCACATCTGTCTCTCCTACTGGATTGTAAAGCTCCAATGTGACAGAAACCATTTATGCTTTGGTATATCCTCCAGAAACAGCATGACAGCCCAAAGAAAGGACTTAATAAGCATTTGTTGAATGAATCAAGCCAGAATGGGACAGGCCACAAAAAGGCCCCAATTTGGCTATACCACTACCACCGCCGCCAAGGAAGGAAAGTTCCTGGGAACATTTTCAGAGGCCCTAATGCTCCCCTGAACAGTAAAATGGCCTGGCCAGACCACTGCACAGCAGGAAACCCAGAAGGGCAGGGGCCTCCTGTAACTGTACTCCCTGCAGCAATGACTCTTCCTGTGCAGGATCACGTTCCACCCATTCGTCCAGGTATGACAACACAGGTACTAACCCCAGGCCGGCCCAGCCCTTTAGCCTACGTCTCTTGCCTGAGCACCTGGCTGCAGAGAGAGTTCTCAGGAAACAGGCTTTTTATGAAACAATCTGTGCTCATCCCAGCACTTACACTGAGCCCATGCTGTAGCGACGTGACAACAGACGCGAAGCCTGCCGCGAGCTGAGAGGGGTGAAAGCTCTGATGAGCAGAAATCAGGGGAAAGGGCCTTCCAGGTGTGGGTCTGGTGAGGGCAGAGGCACGGAGGTAGAGCACAGGGCAGGTGGGAAGAGGCAGCTGGACCTTAGGCCATTCAAGCAGGCGGTAAGAGGGATGACAGAAAAAGAAACACCAGGGGCAAGTGGAAGACTCAGAAGTCGTCACAACCCCGACCATCGGGTACACTGGCTTTGGCAGCATACAGAGTACGACTCCAAGGCTCCTGCAGACCACAAGCATGCTCTTCTTAGTCTACACACTGTTGATAACTTAAAACTTGGGAGACTTTACATAAAAAGGCAGATTTTCAGCTTGTTCGGAAACATGAGATGTGTCCCCATTCCTGAAGAACAACTGCAGCAGGGGTGGAGAGCAGCCGCACAGAGAGGTGAAATGCTCAGCCTGCACGCACCCAGCACTCGCCAAGCCCGCACGCAGCGCCGTTGCCATTCCTCGACACTCACTGCCTCACCTCTGTGGGTCTTTGTGCCTCGGACAGGGCATTCTCTCATCTCATCCTGCCCCAATAACAGTGCCTCACAGATACACAATCTCAGGCCCAGAGTGTACGATCCCTGTTCAATAACACATGATCAATCAATCCACCATAAATACCTGAGCCAGAATTTCCTGGGTAAGCATTTCAAGACTGATTAGATTCTTGAATCACAGATCAGCTTATGCATCATCATTGCTGTGTAAGCAAAATGTTGGTTTCTGATTTTAGAGAAACGTGGATTAACAAAACATGCAATGGCTTTTATCAAGGTCAAAAGACAGTCCCAAAGCCAGCAACTCACAGAATTCCTCTGAACGTCATGCTCAGTCTTGGCATACACCTCAGACAGCTCGCCATTCAGAATGACCTCAGCTAAGGAGTTCACCAGCGGTGCGTGATGTATGATCAGGAAGACCTGGTAGAAAGGGCGAGAAGGGACTTGCGTTAGGAGTGCAGTCTTCCAACCCCTCCCTCTCTGACCAGGAACAATAGACTGGGCTACGTGAGTCCAAAGGTGCCGTCTTCCCAGGTACCCTCCGCTGGGTTGGCCTGCCTTCAGACTGCTGCCTACCTGGCCAGCTGCTCTTCCTCTGAAGGAAGACATTGAAGCAAGACCATCCCTCAGAGCTGGCTGAAGCCAAATCCAGCCAAGCGGAGCAATGTGGGGAGGAGCAGCCAAACCAGCGCACTCCTTCCGCTCCACAGGCAAGCTGGGGTCAAATTCAATTATACTAAGACTAGAAGGCTCCGTCCCAACACTTCAGCGAGGGCCAGCGAGTTTTGTCTCAACCAGGACTTGGCAAAGAAGTGGAGATTCCATCACTGGAATGTGCGCCAAGCCTGTGGTGGTTTCAGCATGCTGGCTGCTACAGCAGGTCTACAGGTGTGGGGCTAGGAAAGAGAAGCCACAGGAGCCAGAGGCAAGCCGCACCTGCCAGGATGCAAAGCAGCAGCTCTGAGTCGAGACGGTCCAGCTCTCCACCCTGCTCCCCAGTGGTCAGAGGAACAGCTTTAGGAATCAGGGTATTCAAACTACCTTGCAAAGCTGGACTAGGCACGCCTGCGATCTTGCTTAAAAATGCAAAGGCAGCAACAAGGTGGAGCAGTGTGGGGAGTCCACTGTGTGTGCATGAGGAGAGTGTGCATGCACATTTGTATCTACTCATTTATGCATGCATAGGACAGGGTTTCTCAATCTTGGCACTCTGGACACTACGGGTCTTCTTTGTTGTGGGGCATCCTGTGCATTGTAGGGTGTTTAGTAGCAGTGCTAACCTCCACTCTCTAGATGCCAATAGCACACCCTCCCCTCAGTCCCAACAACAACAAAAATCTCCAGACCTTTCCAGATACCCCTGGGTGGGGGGGCGGGGGGCGGATCATCCCTGGTTAAAAACTCCTGGCAGAGACTCTCTGGAAGGAAATAATGAAACCCTGTACTGAGGTTGTCTCTGGGGATTGGAACCAGGAGTGTAAACTTAGAAAAAAGAGAGAAAACTTGGCTTTCACCTTTTTAATCTTAAGAACGTATAATGTAACCTTGACTGCCCCTGAGGGGTAAAACTGGGTGCCCACAGGACATGGGTAGGAGGCAGACTTTCCTCACGTCGTCTTTTATATCATTTCAATAGGGAGAATATATTATTCAAATAAATAAATTAAAAGGTACAGGCAGAAGAGCTAAATATCACAGTCTTTTAAAATATCAGGGAGATCTTCGTTATTATACAGATACAGTACGACCAAACGATCTAGGCCACATCCAGGGCTGTGGCAGGCACTCAAAACGTTTGTAATACTGGCAATTGTTCTCACCTTCATGACAGCCAGATTACTGCCACATATTACTTGACCACAAAACAAAACCCATCATTGAGTTTTGTTTACTCTACAATTATCTATTACGTACCTTGTATGAATATGACCTTATTCCTTCTTTTATTCAGTCCTAAGCATTCAATGAGCACCTTCTAAGGACCCCTACCTAAGGGAGCATGTGGTGCTCATTTTCCCAGCTTTGAACTGGGGATGCGGAGTCACTGCAGGGTCCCAGGAAGTGTGCACAGGCCAGACTGAAAAAGCTAGGCGGGTTGTCCACGCTGCGCTCTCACTCTTCACTGTGTGAGGCAGTTTGATCTCAGGGGGAAGACATCATCTGTCACCCTAACGTCATACCATCAACGTGAATTTTGTAACTGTGCTTGTGAAATGATTTGTAAGAATGCACTGATCTTGTAGTGATGTAGGTAAGTTTTCACACATTTAAATCACATTATAATTAAGTTAAATGAAAATACAGGGGGAGGAATGACTTGAGATTTTTTGATCTTTAAAAAAGATCTTTTAAAGGGATCTAAATTTGAGGAACCCTGAATTATAAGCTATGCTTTCTGCAAGACATTGAAACAAATAATTAGGTACCTGCACCACTGGTGCTTCACTAAGAAGACAGGAGAAGGAGACTGTCCCCACTGGAGGCCCAGCGTGGGTTGGCCTCAGGCCCCTCAGCTGAGGCCCTCCCACACACCGCTCAACAGCTCAAGGGTCCCCAGGCACCACCCACAGATCCATAGTGGCTGAACAACTGGCCCGCTCGGGTCCTGCCAGACTCCCAGAATCTCAGCAAGACGTGCTGGCAGGTTTCTAACGAGGAGGCAGGAAAAGGAGAGGCTGGGTTGTCCTGAGCTCCGTGGCACAGGAGGGCATTCAGCAGTCGGCCGAGCAGGGCTCTGAGCAAACAGAGCCTCAGAGCAAGACTCGGGACACAAACAGTGGTCAGGCCACATCCGGATCTCCCTCGGCCCGCAGCCTGAGTCTTCCTTCTCTGGTCAGTGAGATCCAGCCTCCCCGAACTCCAAATGACAGGGATCCATTAGAAGAACAGAATCTCATCGTAGCCAAGAAATATCTGTACCACTGAGGAAGTGGGAACAGAGCTCTGGTCAAACGTTTGACTGCTGACGGTCTAATGGATGGCCTGCAAGTCTGCGCTGCTAGTAATAAAAATATTTTTAAAGTTATGTAACTGGGTCACCATGGAGTTTTCCCTTCTTGTAAACATTACATAATTACGAGGAGGAAGCACAGTTGCTGACGGAGGGAGGCAGACAGATGGGCTCAAGACCGAGTCCGGGAGCTGAGGCCGTTGTAGGACACCTTGCAGAAGGTAATGTGGGAACTAGAACCACAAGAAAACCCTTTAAAAACAGCCTCATGACAGGAAATTGTTAAGTAAAGGTGCTACGGGATGCACACCATGGTCCAGCGGTTCCGGGCTTATTTCAAAATACTGTGGGGTTGGGATTGGGCTCAGCGGTAGAGTGCTCGCCTCACACCGGCGGGACCTGGGTTCAATCCTCAGCACCACATAAAAATAAAGACATTGTGTTGTGTCCATCTACACCTAAAAAATAAATATTAAAAAATGTATATATATACTGTGAATAAGAGCCACACAAGGCACACTTCCAGGGTATCAAGAGCGCTCCTCCGTTGTTGGGAAACCTGGGTCCCCATGTGAAAACCAAGCATGAGTGCCAGGTTTGATTTAGTTTTCCTTTCTCTTTAAATTTCCATCTCCTGCATGAAAAACACACAAGTCACCTCTACCCAGTATCTGGAAATAGAACACCCTCTCCATGTCTTCTGATTTTATTTCAAGATGGAGCACAGAAAGATGGCGATGCAGCCTAGGGACCTCCTAACAGGCAGCAGAGTGCACAGACCCAGACCTGCCAGGGACACTAGAGAATGGGCAGACATACCTGTGACAGGAGATAGAGAGACACAGGCAGGCTGATTTTCGGTCGTTCTCCTCCCTAGTGAAAGTCAGGGGAAAGAGGGAGAAGGGGGTCAGGGTCACAAAAGGAGCCACAGAAAATACATGATGTGAAAAGCCATCGGTTTGAACCTGCGGTGCCTGGCCCCTGACTTCCTCCTGTCCCGGAGGCTGCCCTCTCCTGGTGACAGGCACAGCCTGACTGCACTCAGCGCCATCTGCAAGACCAGCTTGTGACTTCGGAGATCCCTAACCCAGAGCAGCAGCTGACCCAGGGGAGCTTGTCCCTGCAGCTCCCAGGGCTGCTCCTTTCCCGGGTGGGGCCTGTGGCTCCCGTGGTGAGGCCCCAGGCCCGCTCTCTCCCTGGGAAAGGGTCTTCAGAATACGAAGGGGGAGGTTTGGGGCCCCATCCCACACCAGCTCTGCAGGGGAGAGATCTTCAGAGTTTCCACTTTAAAACCAAAAAAAAAGTGGGCTGGGAAATTAATTGACTTGTCAAGGTCCCGGGGTTAGGAAAGGGAAGAGCAGAAACTTGACCCCGGCACTGAACCCTCCAGTTCCCAGGGTCTGCTGCTGCCTCGGGAGCCGCCTCTGCTGGAGCCCGTTAGGCCACGACTTTCTCCTACCGTATTAACTTATTTGAGGCAAGAACCCCCATGCTCCATCTCCCAAGAGGAAATGACCTGGAGACACACCTGCAGAGGCCCCCCGCCAGACGACAAGGGCTCTCCTGCTGAGGCCTCCGCTTTCTCCCCCCACCTCTGGAGAGATGGCCCAGGCCCTCCCAGGATCAGCATTTCTGAGAGTCCCAGAAGCAGCTGCTCAGAATCAGTTGGGAACAGGTCACACATGCAGATGCCTAGTCCCGCCTCAGCCCCTCTGAGCCAGAACCCCCACAGGGGGAGGGCGCAGAGGACTTGCCACTGGCCACCTCTGTCCCCACAGAGGACTCGAAACTATGGATGGTCCTCCACCCCTGCCTGTCCTGCATCCTCTGCAGACCCATCAGTTCTGGGAACTACCAGGAAAAGTTGCTGGGGTGAGAAGACCCAGGGAAGGAGGTACAGAGACCTAAGCCTGAATCCTAGGGGTCTCCTGTGTCCTCTCATGTCGGTGATCGGGCTTTTCCTCACTCAACTGACAGCTCTCTTTGGGAAAACCAGCAAGCTCTAGACGGCCTTTTCCTCGGGAGTGAACCTTGGCCTCTTGGGCAGCCCAGCTACAGCCTTCTGGGCGGTGGCCAGGCGCAGACCCACCTTGTCGGGGCTCTCCAGGGAGGACACATACAGGGGCAGGAAGAGCCTGTTGAGCAGGTGGTCGCTGAGCACGTCATTGAGGAACTCACAGTTGATGATCAGTATGTCATTGAGATAGTGCAGGTGGTCCAGGTGCTCGGCCACCAGGTCGCTCAGCTTGCCCCGGTTCCTGTGCCTGCCGAGAGAGACCACCACCTCAGTCTGCAGGCCAAGCTGGGGCCGCGGGCCTGACATGAGCACCCTGGACTTACACTGAGGCCCACTGATCTCAAGAGACACCCATCCTGACCCCACAGAGGACAGACACAAAGGAAAATGGACAAGTCCACTGCTCCCATTTTAGGGGACTCCTGAGGCCCTCCCCATGAGGGCCTTGGAACAAGTCGACCCACAACTGCAACCCCAAATAATTGGGACAAATGAAGCAAAACCCAGTTAGCGAAGCTCTTAGCAAGCCACTGCACGGGAGCAGCCACTAGTCGATCGGCAAGATCCCGGCTCCCCAGATCAGCAGAGTTGATGGAGCCCTAAATCCTCACAATTAAAACGCTGCAGAGGCCTCTGAAGGGAAAAGCCGGCCCTTACTCAGCAGCCACATCTGCCCCAGGGTCCTGACCATCTGTGGGACAGAGCAAGGACACAACAGGCATCCCCGGGCCTGGCCTGAAGGTCTGTGTGTCCCTGCAGTTGGCAACAGGCGGGCTGCCTGGGTCTCCTGGGTGGAGTCAGGCACACTCCAGAGACCACCCAAAGCACCCGGTGCATGTGCCCACCACCCCGGCCACACGGCCACAAGCAGCACAGCCAGAGCCAGGCGCTGCTGATGGAACCGGCGACACTCAGAACCCAGGAGATTTAAAAAGAAGATAAAAGGCAAAAGGAAATAACGGTCCCTACAATGCCACCACCAACCATCCACCACCGACAGACACGTAGGGACTGTGGCTCCACAGTCGTCTGGCACATTCTCGCCTCTTCCTATGACCAACCTCAGAGGCAGGGGCTGCACATGTGCCAGTCCAGCATGACACACTTTGAGAAAATGAGGACCAGAAGGACCAATTTTGCTTCTTTACATAATTTCTAGTGATTGTTTCCTTTTTGGTACCAGCGATTGAACTCAGGGGCACTCAACCACTAAGCCACATTCCCGGCCCTATTATTATTATTATTATTATATTATTATTCTGCTTAGAGACAGGGTCTCACTGAGTTGCTCAGCACCTTTCTAAGTTACTGAAGCTGGCTTTGAACTCGAAATCCTCCTACCTCAGCCTCTCAAGCCACTGGGATTATAGGCGTGCTCCCCCATGCCCGCCCTAGTGGTCGATTCTTATGAGATTTTAATAAGATCTTCAGTAAACATCTACAGCAAATGCATGTTGCAAAGCCTTGGAGCCTAACAAGCACCTGGGAACCTACCACGCCGAGACCACAGTGTTCACACGCAATGCCTTTTTCTTTAGTTGCGATTTATTGCACCTCATTAAATGGTTAAAATACACTACTTAATGGTTAAAATATCAAAGTGACATAGACAGGTTTAAAACTCAAAGAAGAGATGCTGCTCAGCTGACGATGAAAAGCAGTGGCCCCTGGCCCAGCCCTGTTCCCACCTCCTGGCTCTGAGAGGCAGTTTTTAACCTCTGGTTGCTTCTGTAGACAGTTCCTCCCATACTTTCATAAACTCTGTAATTGAGTCTTTTTACACATAATCTGTCAACTCCTGTTGTGACAACACTGTGCCCCGCCCCCTCCCTCAACAGCAGGTGTGGGTCACTGCTGCTGACTTGTAGATGTCACTGCGCAGCCAAAGAGGGAGGGCTCTAGTCACTTCCCTCCCTGGACCAGGGTGTCTTTCTGGCAACAAGTGCCTGGTGGTGCCTCGTATAGGTGCCTGTTCAGACCCACAAAGGAGCGTGTTTTCTCAAATGCTCAGTCAGATCTGCAGCCACCTGTGCTCACTTCTTTCTCCATAGCAGATCTCATATCTTATCTACCCACCTCCTCTCCCCAGAAGAGCTCCTTCCTGGGTCCCTCCCACATCAGGACCTCTAGTAGACCCGGGGAAAGCTGGCGTTCTGTGGCAATGTTTTGCAGTGTGGGTGATTTTGCCTTCAAGGGGACATTTGGTGACCTCTGGAGACATTTTTGCTGTCACAGCCGCAAAAGACCAGATGCTATTGGCTTCTGTGGGTAAGGCCACGGATGCTGCTAAACACCTTACGAGGCAAGGACGCCCCTCACAAAGGGAGAGGAATCTCACTGTGGGACTCCTAGTCACCCCTCTGGAGACAAGATCACCCTCTTCAATTACTTTATAAACACTTGTTGAGATGTAATTCATACATAATAAGACTCACCCACTTAGAGTCTGTAATTGAATGGTTTTTAACCATTTTCCTTCCTCCCTCCTTTCTTTTGTGCGGGGGATGGAAGCCGGGCCTCGTGCTGGCTAGGCAGGTGCGCTCCCCGGGCTACGTCCCAGCCTCAGGGTCGTTAGTGTGTCCAGAGCTGTTGGGCCACCGTCAGGTCGACTGGAGAAAAGCCCTGCGCGTGCTCATTAGCAGTGGCTTCCCACTCCCCCGACGCCCCCTCCTCCTGCACCCGCGGCCCAGGAAGCCTCTCATCTCCTCCCTGCCTCTGGCTCTGCCGATTCTGGGCACTTTATATAGATGAAATCACAGGGCGCACGGCCGGGTCGGCTTCCCCCACTTCGCACCATTTTCTGAGGTTCGCGTTTCGTGGCACCTCAGCACTGGGTTCACTTCACTGCCAACACTGCCCCGCCTCTGGCAGACCCCATCTCGTCATTCACTCCTCAGCTGACAGGTCACCCTAATCTCCTAACCAGCACCACCGACAGGTGCACTGGCACCCTCCTGTACCGGCTCTGGGAGGCGGGTGAGCCATTTCCAACTCTCCACTGTTTTAAACAGCGGGGAGAGCCGTTTCCAATCCGCAAGCCCACGCTCTGCCCACACCATAGGAAGAACTGTTCTCCCGGAGTCCCCCTCACACTCTGCCCACCCACCAAACACCCAGGGGCCACTTACTCCTCATCAGTCTGCACGCAGGTGTCGAGCTCGATCACGTGGCTCCCGATGAACCAGACCAGGTTGGAGAAGTAGGGGACGGCAGTCTTGTCCCTGATGTAGTGCAGCATGGCCTGGTTGTCCACTGAGGAATTCACCAGAGAGTCAGAGTCAGACCACCAAAAGTGACTTGGGGAGATAAAAAACAACCAAAAGCCACCATGCAAAAGCCCTCTGCTATCATCTGAAATCGTCTTTCCTGGAAATACGTGAAAATGTTCATCTTATTCATAAAACTGTCCTCGTCGAGGCCGTTCTTATGCTAGGCTTAATAAAGGTACACACAGGGCCAGCCAGCGTCCGTGCGCTGGGGCGCCCACCATGAGCAGTGGCCTGTGCCGACCCCAAGAGAATGACGCCCTTCTCAAGCAAGGCTCCTCACTCCCACGTCAGGGTAAGTTAAGAAAGAGGAAAACCAGAGGTTAGCGACTTACATGACACTGGCATAAGGAACAGGCATCGTCATGGAAGGAAAGGCAGAAACAGACAACAGTTAACAAGGTTAGAACTGGGAAGGTGAGACAGCTCTCGGGGAGATGAGGTGGGGCAGGAGCATCTGAACCAGAAGAGAAGGGTCAGAAGACCGCCAGGAAAAATGGCAGCAGCAGGCGGCAAACCAACCACCGCGGGGGCCAGGGCCGCAAACTCAGAGGCTGCCAGGTTGGCCGTGGCCCAGGGGGCAAAGGCGGCCACCTGGCGTGTTAACTGAGGAGTCCAGGCTTCAACCCAAAACAGGCAGCTGCTTCTCAGCACCAGCTGACCCCTGTCCTGCAGGACTGTGGGCCCAGATAGCCAAATCTACATCTTCAAGTCAGAAACCCAGACTGTTCCATAAGATTTCCCAATTTTTAGATACTGTCAATGCTTTTTAAAACCATCTAAGCCAATTAAAACATGTCTGGGGACTGGTCTCAGCCCTCAGGCCCTCAGTTTGTGATTCTGCATGGACTAGACTGGGCTCTCAAATGTAATGTAATCCCAGAAGTGGGCAGGCATGAGCCCCTGAGAAGCCCCCACCCCAATCCCAGGTCATCTCAAGTAATAACAGCCTGACTCACAAAGGCCAGAGCCCTGAAATCCCAAAGAAAGCGGAGCCCCAGCTCCATGGTGGGGCCTACAAGGGAAGGAACCTGCATTAGGCAGGAAACTCCCAAGGCGCTGCCTTGGTACAGACGGGGCCAGCCAGCTTCGGTGCGCTGGGCAGCTGGGGCAGCTGGGGCAGCCTTGCCGGTGCGGGCAGGGCCCTGGAGGGCTGCTCCTGCAGGCAATGTGCAGGGTTAAGCTGGTCCGGGAAGAAGGGGTCTGGCAGCACAGGGCTTTCCACAGGGAACAGAAAGACGGTATCGCCCCCTGCTGTTCGTGCTGCTAAGTGCTTTTACACATTTTTTAAAGACAGCCTGCCTTTCAGCTGTATGGAAATATACCCAATAAGCTGAAACACAGACTCTTAAACCTAACATTTGAGAGACAACTTTGCTTTATCTAGTTGTAACATGGCCACTCTGAATCCCACAGATGCCTCCTTGGGACACTCTACTCTAGGTAGCAGGACCCAGCAAGACCCAAACATGCAGGGAAGACAGTGGTCCCAAGGCTGAGCTGAGGGTCCCGCCAGGGCAGCTCCCTGGTTTCTCTGCAAGGGCTGGATGCACAGACCAGAGGGAGCAAGCTCTTGCTGCCTGTTAGAACCAGCCAAGGCAGAGCCCGCAGGGAACTCACCTTTGTAGACATTCAGGGTGATGGTCCTCACAGCAATTCGAACCATGCTTTCGGGATGATTGAAAAACTTGATGGCTTCTGTGTACAGGGCAAAGTCATTGGTATGCTAGAACAAAACAAGTACCAAAGAGTCACAGACCATGATGAGACAGGCCTGCCCCACACGAGCTTTCTGAAACCCATCAGAAAGTGGGATAAAGGGGGGAAAGTTGCCACTGTGAACCTCAGGTCAGGAGTGCAGTCCCAGGGGAGTGTGGAACAGGGAAGGACAGGGAGGTGAGGACTTGGCAGAAACAGAACTCAGGTCCAGCACCATCCCGTCGCTTCTTAGCAGGACAAGACCCAACTCCTGCTCACCAGGATTCAGTGAGACATTTCCCATCAGGTAAGACTCAAGCCCAGCAACTGACACCCAGCAAGCACTCAAGACCAGGGCAGATTCCCTCGGATGTACTCCAGCTTATTTAAAAGGTAAAGTTTTACTCAGTTCGGAATCTCTACTTTTCTCTGGAAGCTGAAGAACCCAGGTGTCTTCTGCTGTTAAAAAGGGAAAATGAGGGGCTAGGGAGGTACCCCACTGCGAGAGCCCTCCCGGCACTGTGTGAGGCCCTGGGTTCCATCCCCAGCACCACCAAATGGGGGGAAAAAAGGACCAGATCAAACAGTGGAGAACCCCAGAAACCCACTGACTGCCCCAGACTAAGAAAAAGTGAAGTGGGCTCTGGACCAGGCACACAGTAGAGTGCTCCTCCGGAGGCCCATGTGCCCCCCACACAGCACCCCTCTGGCTCTGAGGGCATGCAGAGCAGCACAGGAGAAGCCTGGGGTGGGCCGGGGGAGTGGGAGCCTCCAAGACCAGCCCTGCCAGGTGGGCTGTGGAGGGCTCAAGGCACCAGTGTTCTGGTGAGGACCAGAAGTCAAGCATGCAGCTCCCAAGTGACAACTACTCCACAGGCTCACGTTAAAGAGGAAATCAAGCCCACCTCAGAGAGAGGCTCCGGCCACCCCTGTGGCGACCAGAAGGGTGCTCTCTCAGAAGCACCACTCTGACCCCAGAACCCAAGTGTTTTGCCCTCCCAGCCCAGTGTGCAGAGGCCCAGCTGCATCTGAGCAGGGGTAGAATCCAGCCGCACTCTGTCCCAACCTCACAGGGGGCTTTTCTCGCACCAGGGAGAACATTGGGAGAATGCTAACATTGTCCACCTGTTTGCTGGATGTGTTTACTGAGCACCTACTATGTGCTAGGTGCTGGGCCCCATGATGTTAATCTTCAAACTGCCAGTGTTCTGTGGTTGACAACTAGTATTTCTTCCCTTTGAGACCAGCTCCTCCCCACCACTGAACAACTAAAGTCAAGGTTCAGGCTACCGTTGCCACACCAGATGAGACAGCTAGACAGAATTTGTCCAAATACAGAAGATACATGTGGACTACAGCGTGATCCCAACACAGGCTGGGCGCAGACGTGGTCACCAATCGGACACTGCACACAGTGTGCGGCTGGCAGCAGCCTTTGAGTTGGCCCCAGACAGCCTCACCCCTGGACCACGAGCTCGTGCCCCTTCGCTCACTGAGCCAGGCTGCCCTGCGTGACCAGGAACAGGGCAGAATGGTACGTGGGACGTCCGCAGCAGGCCGTGCCACACCCCATTTGCCTTGGTTCTGGGGCAGCCTCTGAGGGAAGCGGCTGCTGAGACAAGGGCACTTGAGCAGGCTGTGAAGAGGGCCATACAAAGGGAGACCAAGCTGGCCACCCATGGGAATACAGATCCTCCACCCTGATCCAGGTTTCAGGTGACTTTAGCCTCCCGGGAAACTGTGCCAAAGTACTTCTGCCAGGCCAACTCCAAACTCCAGACACACTGTGGGAGAAATGTGATGCAATTCTGATCAATGAGACAGGAAGGAAAGTCTGGTGGGAGATTTCTGAGAAAGTTGTTTTTGGAAGTAAAAAAGGGACACAAGAAGGGAAGTGATTCATCAGAAATTTCAGCAGTAGCATGTAAATATGTGATGTTTAGAGCTGCTGCAGCCATCCTGTGACCATGAGGAATAGAACCAGAGAACAGATGCCAACTGAACAGTCAGTAGAGAAGGAAGATGGAAAAGCCTGGGCCCTTGATGAAGTGGGAGAGTCAGGATGAAGCGGACCTAGCACAGCCGGTATTTGTACCTTTTAGTATATGGGATAAATTGACCTTATTGGTCAAGATCCTTTTTTTTTTTTTTTAATATTCATTCTTAAGTTTTAGGTGGACACCATGTCTTTATTTTACATTTATGTGGTGCTGAGGATCAAATCCAGTGCCTCGTGCATGCCAGGCGAGCACTCTACCACTGAGCCCCAGCCCCAGCCCCTCAAGTTCCTTTTAATAGTGAAAGCAGCAGCAATTTATCTATTTCAGTTGTTGATTCTCCCAAGGAATCAGGGGCGTTAGCTTGCAGAGAAGAGCACTGTCTATAGGATGTACTATAGACTTTTTCAGCACTTTACAATATCCTCTCTGTCATGCTCAGTGGCACAGCACTTGCCTGGCATGTGTGAGGCACAGGGTTCAATTCTCAGCATCGCATATAAATAAACAAAGACCCACTGACAACTAGAAAACATTTTTTTAAAAACCATCTCATTTAATTCAATCCCTGAAAAGCCAAAGCAAATATTTTCACACCGATTTCTCAGATGAGGAAATCGAGGCTCAAGGTGGGACTGGAACTTCCCTGAGGTCACAGAGCAAGGAAGTGGATAAAGCAGGCCTGCCTGACCGAGCGCTCAGGTCTCTCCTACAGGGTGTCACTACTGGACAACTCTGCCAAGTACAATAGAGCTCTCAGCACAGGCTGAATTTTACATTTAAAGTGAAAAAGTAATTTGTTGAATTAAAAACAACCTTTAAGGTGTGCCAAAGTTAAAGGGTGTTGCCGTGACAGTCACTGATGGTGACCCAAGCTGTGACGTGGTCAGCTCTAGACCCAGGTGCCCCTGGCAAACACTCACCTCATTGTAAAAGAAGTGGACAGTGTGGTTGTTGAGCTTGAGCGAAAGTGTTTTCAGGAACGATATGTAATATGCCATGATCTCCTCGTCAGAAAAGTCGAACTTGTGGACGATGATGGAATTCACATAGTTATTGGACAGCAGGTAATCTGGAGGGAGACAACAGCGGGACAGGTGACCTCCAGTGGGAAGGGCAGGCAGGGTGCCGGCACGTGCGGGGCCACGGCAGCCCCCGCGCTCAGTAGGCCCCGGGTTGCTGGGTCACCCACGATGACGGGGTGACTGTCAACTCGCCAAGAAACCCTGGCTGCGCACACACTAGCAAGGGGGAAGGCGACGCCGGGGGGAGCCTGTCCCTCCTTCACACCAAGAAGAAAGGCCCCTCAGCGCCTGCTTTCCCTGCTGGCCAAGGCCGACCTGGCGCGGCGAGAAGGGCAGGCGGTGCGTGGGCTCTTTCACTAATACCCACGAGTGAGGGGAACGGCTCTGCCTTCTATAAAAAGCTGCCCTGTTTTGCCATCGAAAGTCACATCGTCATCCCTGAATGCCACACAGGACTGCCACATAGGGCCTTCCCTCCTCACAGCAGTGCCATTTCACAAGGCCACAGCCTGATGGACCCGAGGCGCCACGGCTCAGTGCTTCCCACTGTGACTCAGGGTCACAGCTGCTGCAGAGCCAGGCTCAGCCTCGGGTCTGCAGATGAGAAAGGAGCTCAGGAAGGTTGGGTGCCTTGCCTGAGGACACAGAGACGGAAAGTCCCGGAGAAGGGTTCAAGCTCATGATGCTGCAGCCCGTCATGCCCACAGTAACAGGGACTGGCGCGAAAACTGGGCACTGAGGGCCTGGGGCCAACTGGCCCAGCATGGTGAGGGCTTTCACCTGAGGAAGGGAAACCGGAAACTGGCTGGAAGCTGCACCTCTGGGTCCTGAAGTGGTGGCCATGACATCAAGCAGTTCTTAAAACAAAACGAGGTCTACGGACCACCAGCAGCTGCAGCGTGCAGCGTGAGGCCTCAGCGTGAGGCCCCTGGTGGACAAGCTCCTCTCCAGCCCTCGCCAGCCACCTGCAGAGCAGGGCTGCTAATGCAAGAGCCCGTTCCGCCTCCCCTGTTCCCTACAGAGGTCAAAGGCAGGATGTGACGGGCACCTGCTGGGACAGGCGAGGCAGCACAGTGACACGGCTCAGAGCCTGGCTCCTGAAAGGCCAGTGCCCAGACCGACCGCACAGCATGCCCTAGAGCTGGCGGGGACCGCAGAGGCAGCACCCAGCCGGACCTGTGGGCGAGGGTCCCCGGGGATGGGTGGGTAACGGGCTCCTTGGGCAGTCTGCTCAAGAGGCGCTGGGTCCAGATGTGCACGAGGATCCCTGCTGCTTGGGTCCAGATCTTGCCTGCCACCTCCCAGACATGAGACCTGGGCGAGCTGCCCACCCTCCCCACTCTGCGGTCCACTTGTCTGGAAACAAGGTCCTCCTCAGGTTGTCACAGGGTGGAAGGAGCCAACACAGCAGCCCCCAGGACGGCACGGGCAGGGGACCCTCTTCTCAGCCTGCTCCAGCAGCGGAGTGCAGGGCCGGCACCGCTGCTCCGAGGAGAGTGGGAAGCAGCCCGTCAGCTCAGCCTCATCCAGGGATGACTGAGCGTTCTGCTGGAAAGACCACATCACCAGAGCAGCCAGCCTCAGGTCCCTGGCAGGGCCGCAGGGTGGCACCACGCAGGGTGGAAGCCAGCCCCTGGGAAGGCCGCTGTGCACTCTGAGCAGGCGCAGGAGACGGCCTTGCAGACTGCAGTCAAGAAGTAGTTTTCAAACTCCGACAGGAACGGCTCCTAAGGCTGCGCTCTGGCCTACTCCGAGAGAAGGCAGGTGCTTACACATGTCACAGATGCGAAGGAGACAGCTCAATACATGCACCTGTGTATTCAACACAGCCCCCTCAGACTTTGGGGGTCGGGAACATGCACACCACAGGAGAGCGGTTACGCCCCCAGCACTCCAAGGTTCCCGTGCTGCACCCGCCAGGCTGTCCTCCTCCAAGGCCAGCCCCACCCCGACTCCCACCTCCACAGACTCATTTTGCCTGCTCCTGAAGCTGGCGTCGGTGACCGGGCGCACTGCCCCTGGGTCTGGCCTCTCCTGCTCCTCACACTCGCATGACCAGCTGACGTGTGCGGCCTTTGCTGCTGTGAGTAACTCCACTCTGAATACCCCACAGGTTATCTGCCCCCTGCAATCACGTGTGTGCCACGCAGCCCAGGTGACCCTCATGCCTGAAGCACTTCTCTCTGTCCTTCTGACTGTGGGTGGGGACCGGCGGGGAGGGTCAATGGGCTAGAGGAGGAGGGAACACAGGCCGACTTGCCGAGCCCCGTGGCACAGATGCCCATGCTGGCAGCTCCAGATGTACGTTGGGAGCCTCCCGGGTGTGTCTAGACCTAGGACAGCCAGGGCATAGACCACTCCTCGTGGGGACTTTTTCAGGGCCTCCAAGAGATGACTGAGTGTTGGGGGACCACCATGGGGGCAGGGGAGGGCCTTGATCACTGTGTGGCCGACTTTCTGTGGTATCCTTTTATAATAAACCCAGGAGTCTGTAAGTAATCTCAGTCTCTCGGGCCTCTGTCACTTAGGTCACCAAACTCAACAGGTGATAGATGTATTTGTGAAGCGTCTGCATGTCAAAGTGAAAGTGTGGAAAGCACCTAAATGCCCACGGTCAGGGCTAACAGATGACGGCCAAGCAAGGGCAGCGCTCCAACCTGATCCATGAGGGCTACTCGAAGGGACAGGAGAGGATCTGGGCGACCCTGGGAAGGAGGGAAAGCAGAGCAAACAGGAAGACAGTCTGTGTGCGTGCAGCCGTGAAGGGGAGACAGAAACCGACTTTCCATACTTTTGTAAATTCTTCCTATCTTGTTTTATAATGAAGACACTTTCTATGATTATAAAACACAAATAAACACAGAGCACTTCTCCTTTCATCCCTTGCAAATGCCAGTTTACAATTGGGCGGTGACTGCTGCCCTTTTCCTCAGGCTCCCAGAAGCCCTCTGACCAACTGCCCACACAGCAAGGGGTCTGCCACTCTCGGAGCAGGTCTCCTCCTTGACTCCAGGACAAGAAAAGCCGCACGCGCTGCCTGATCTCACTTGTGAGTACGATCCAAGGAGCTGAGCGAATGGGGACAGAGAGCAGAAAGAGGCTACCAGAGGCTGGGGTGGGGACAGGGAGGCGTGGGTCGGCGAACCCAGCCCCAGTTCCAGGTGGGTGAATTCTGAGCATCTAACGCCCAGGGTGGTGACAACAGCCAACAATACTGTGCTGGACACCTGGAATTCCCTAAAAGGTCATTTCTAAGTGTCCTCACCACACAAAAGGCAACTATGTTCACCGACTTAACTGAGGTGGTCACGTCAATGTGCACAGGTATCAAGATGTGTACCTTAAACGCATACAAAAAGCCAAAATTTAAACCCGTCTTCATCCCCTCGCCCTGTGCCTACCTTGGTTTGAAAGGGGTTAGCAGACATAAGACCTGAGGGCACCCTGGATTAAATGATCACACCGACACCGTGCCCCTGCCCCCCTGCCAGACCCCGCTGAGCCCTGCATCCCATACCCTTATCTGCTGCCACTCAGCTGCTATCATCTCTGCTGGACAGAGGACAGCTGCAGCTGCAGAGCTGACTCCCAGGCACCCGCAGGGAGCAGGGCGCCCTCAGCCCCAGCCTGGCTGGGTCACAGTCCTGTGCCACGAGCTGGCTCTTTCCCCCTGGGTGTTTAGAAACCACCACTGTTTCATATCCAGCGCAAGAGAGGCCGATAACAGGGGAGGCCGCGTAGGGAGGCATCAATCAACCCGCAGTTGTCAGCCTGCGGTCACCAAGTGCGAGGCACCTCTGAGACAGCAGCACCATCTAGTGGCCGCTGCTGGAGCCACAGTGCAGCAGCTCTTGCTGCCAGGAAGCAAGACCACCAGGTAAAGCTGCTCCCGCTGGGGAGACACTAGCCCAAGGTGTCCTGAGGACAGAGAACCACTCAGCCACTTGTCCCCTCGAATTTCTTGCAGGCAGGGTCTGGGCCTGGTGTAGCCTCCTAGAGATCCAAGACCCAGCGCTGTACCAGGACTGCTCCTCCTCGGCACAGTGACCACGCAGGCTGGAGAGCCTCTACCCGCTGGACGCCAGCAGCACCCCGTCCACCTGCAGTGTGACAACCACCAATGTGTCTGGACACGGTCAAGGGCCACGGGCCTGGAGCCATGCACACCCCAGCTCCTGGGCTGAAGCGGTTCCTCTGCTCTGGTCTCACTAGAGCTGTCCCCTTGAGGCCACCACTCCAGCTCTCCTGGTGTGCAAATGGGGGCACCGACAGCTCGTGTCTCATGGGGGTGGTTGTTACAGATGAAGAAACTGGGCTTAGTGAGGACAGGGCCACGCTCCCCAGCTGGGCCACAACACTGTGTCGGGAAGGAGGGAGGTGGCTGCCCCCTTCTTCCTCTCCCTGCCCCCCCCCCACCTCCTCCGCGGTTCAGCAACCAAGTCTCACTCCCAAGTCACAGGAGATGCAACCCCCACCCACTCAGCAGAGGGCCTCTGCCAGCCCTTCACGGAACCCCACGCACAGGAAGCAACAGTGCTGCAGACCCAACTGTGTCCCACAGATCCGCGTCAGGTTGAAGTCCTACCCCCACGGTGACGTATCTGGAAGCAGGGTTGGGAAGTGATTAGGGTTGGGTGAGGTCCTAATCTGATGGAACTAGTGGCCATATACAAAGCGGAGACACCAGAATCTGGTCCTCTCCCAACTCCCTTGCTTGATCTTGCCGTCACTTCTGCTGTCACACACAGAGGAAAGGCCAGGCAGTGAGCAAGTGGCTGCTATGGTCTGACTATGTCCCCAAAGGCTCATGTGCTGGATCTTAACTCCCCTAGGTGGCAGTGCTGGGAGGGGAAGCCTGGCATGGAGCGTTTAGGTCACGGGGCAGAGCCCTCAGGAACAGCTTCATGCTTTTCTCCCCTGAGTTCTGGCTCTCAGGGACTGGACCAGCTGCCTCAAGAGCAGGTTACAAAGCAAACATTCTCTCCCTTTAACATGTGCCTCTTACCCTTGCATTTTCTGCACCAAGTTGAGGGGTATGAGGCCCATGCTAGATGTCTCCATTCAATCTTGGTCTTCTCTGCTTCCAGAATCATGAGCCAAAATAAACCTTGGCTTTATAAATTAGCCAATCTTAGGTATTTTGTTATAGCAACAGCAAACAGACTAAGTCAGTGGCTATCTGCAAGCCAGGAAGAGAGCCTTCACCAGAAACCAACCCTGATGATAGCTTCAACTTAGACTTCTACCCTCCAGAACTGTGAGAAAACCAATCTATAGTTTAAGCCCTCAGGCTTTAGTACTCTGTTAGGGCAGCCCAGACAGACTAATATACAGCAAGCACAGATATACAAAAACCATATTAAGCTACACCCTGCTGACAGACACAAATGTCAAGCAATGTCCTTACAAAGTGAAGTCTCGTGACTGATATTCTCAAAGAGGATGTTCAAAGTCTGCAGCAGCTGAACGCACACATAGCGGCCCGATTTCTGCCTCAGGATGTTCAAGAAGAAAACAAACATGTTCTTCTCCAGGAAGAAGCTGGGGAGAGAATGAGCAAGGGTCAGTGGTTTGCTTCAATAAGTGGAAACCAAAAGCATCCTCTGGTGATATTCCCAGCCCTGCACCCTGCCCCCCAGAAGCATCATCAGGGACACCAGGTCACACCACCACAGGGCCACGGCTTCCATCCTGTCCAGTTCCCAGGATGCCATCTTCCTTCAGGCCAATGAGCAACCCTTCAGCTCAGAAACCTTTCTCCCCAGAAGGTAAGAACAGTGCTGATTCAAGACGCGGTGAGCTAGATTTCCGACAGAATGGGAACAAGCTCTGCCCACTAAGTGATCACACAGCCATCTCCACCCGCAATCCCAACACGCAGCCCTTTCCACTGCACATCCTGTGACCGTACTGCTCCTTACCAACCCTCTTTCCTTTGCTCTCCTTATCTTTGACTGTTAAGAAAATCAGTAATTGGAATTCCCGCAAAGGGATAAGATAATGAAGACTAATAAGAATTTGGGTTCCAAAGCTGTCAAGTTTGTAGTTTCCATATTTTGGGAAAAGAACTGAAAATAAAGATGAAGGTGCTGACATGGTGGAGGGACCCTCACCAGCCCCCTCGTTTCCTTATGCCTTTCTGGACAGGGCACTTGCCTGCATGTGGCCTGGGGGCACCAGCTTTTGGAGGTTCATGCTAGAAACAGGACCCCCTAGTAGAACCCCTAGTGTCTTTTCTAAAGGAAGAAAATGATGTTTCTGGTAATGTGTTCTGTGCCTTCAAGCCAAAACTGGATAATCTTTATCTGGAATATTCACCAAAATCCCTGCTGTCACGTGTCAGCTAGTGACTTACTTCTGGGTGTCTCTGCTCCCTGACCATCAGCTCCTCAGTGGTGGGATCAGGGGCCTGACACTTCCTCAGCGCCACGTAATTTCTGTTTGAATACGTGAAAGAGCAAATGAATGGATAAATATGAACCTAAAAAAATGCTGACAGCTTTCTCAACTCTGATCTGGGAACCTGTGTGCCTGTATAAATGCCATCCACTTTGCCCTTCAGAGATTTCTGTCATCTGCCATGTTTTGTCTACCTTCCCTTCAGTTGGTGTAAATCGGTGGTTCCCAAGTATCACCGACACTCTCAGGTTTTCAAAAACCTGGTAAAATCAAGTCTGAACTTAAAGTAATGTGCCAAGCTTAACGTCTTAGTTGTGACAAACATTCCCTAGTGATAGGAAACGTTAACAAGACAGAAACCAGGTCAGGGGCATACAGGAACTCTCAGCACTACCTCTGCCAACTTTTCTATAATATTGCACTTAAATTTAAAAATTTATTAAAAACAAGATTTTCTGGGGATTTCCCCGAGTTGCTAGTGCAGAATCACTGCACTCCAAGAGCTCAATAGCTTCTCTGAGCTGGTCAAGGAGACATAATTGCTAACCTTTATGCCAATGTTCTCTCTCATGTGCAAAAAGCTATAAACACCCAACAAATTACCCATGGATACCTAAGGGGAGACAGTCCCACTTATAAGCAGTGCCCCACATTCTCCTTTAGGGATCATGGCCTGGGTCCTAGCTTTGCACTTTTCACAAGGAGATTTTATGGATTAAAAGATAAAGCTGTCCTGAAAATCAACTCAGGATAACAAATAAGCCAGATTGGAAATGAAATACCTTTTTTAATAACAGGTTTTTAAAATGGCCTTGGAGCTGAGGTTGTGGCTCAGCGGTAGAGCACTCACCTAGCATGTGCAAGGCCCTGGGTTCGATCCTCAGCACCACATAAATATAAATAAAATAAAGGTATTGTGTCCAACTACAACTAAAAAATAAATATTTTTTAAAGAATAAATATAAAAATGGCCTTTATAATTAAGAATGTGTGTATGTTTAACGTATATATGTATATACACACACACACACTCACATGCATGTACACATATATACATTCATATTATGTATGAATATACATGCACGTATATTTGAGAACGTGTTTGTATATATACACATTTGAGAATGAATATGTATATGGTGGCTGTAACCAATCCCAAATCCTTCTGTGCTGAGACAGGGAGGTGGTTCATAGTTTAGTCTTTGCATTCTAACTGTCTAGTAGGCACACCTATTTCTATCAATCATCATCATCCATGAGCACCTGCTCTGTACCAGACACCAGACGGGGGACTTTCTTTTTCTCCTTTAAAGACAAGGAAACTGAGGCTCAGAAGACAAGAAACCTGGCCTGAGACTGCTCATTTAGAAAGTGCAGAAAGGGGAGACAGCCCTCCTGGGCTTGGTGTTGGCCTCCCTCACCACCTACCTGCTCCACGGCTTTAAGCAACAATGGGGACACCAACAGGGCCTCCGCCGGGGGCAGGGAAGCTCCCTGGACTGTGTCCTCAAAGCTCGGCACTGTGCCTGGCCCTCACAGGTCCTTGGTGGCTCCTCCAGGCCAGGCTACACTCAGCACATGTTCTCCTTCCCTTAATGGGACAATCAGGCTTCTTGGAAAATTTTTCATGACATTTTGGGGTTTTCTGGAGTCACTCATTTCCATAACTTCCCCCTTTGGGGCTTGCACTTCTTCTGTGTTTAAAGGATGTTTTATAGAGAAAGATTTGGGCAAGACTAAATCAGCGTCAAGTTCTGGCCTCATCAGGAATAACTCATGGTGTACGTTTGGAAAAACATTCAAAGGAAGAGGAAGAATCAAAAACAAGCACTAGAAACCCTTACTCAAATACAGAGCTGTCATTCTGGTCTCCCCAGATCAGGATCTCGGTGATAGAACGGATGGTCTCCACCAGCAGGTTCCGGTTCTGCTCTGTGACGGTGGTGTTCTTAGTCAAAACATGGTACAGATACCTAAGAGAAAGGAAGAAAGAAAGGTCACCAACCAACACGAAAGCCAGGCCCAAAGCCCATTAGTGACATCTGGAGACAACACAACAGGGCTTTTTCAGATCTGGTCAGCACAATTTGACATTCAGATTAGACACATTTCACCCAAGAAAAATGGCAGGCTACGCTTTGAAAATTAAACAGCAGGGACAACTACTATTAAATTGAGGCAAAATCATCCTCAAACCCTTGAGGACAGTCATTCTCAAACTTCAGTGTACAAGAGGACTGCCTGGAAAGCAGGCCGGACAGGAGGAATCTGGATGCAAAGGGAAGCACACTCCCTGCTGATTCTGATGCAGGTGGAGACATAGGGCTCAGGCCAAATGTCTAACACAGGACAGGCATCAGAGACTCAGAGAGATGGGTGCCAAAGCCAGCTACTGGGACAAAAAAACCTGTGCAGTGAAGATTACCCTTGGCCAGGTGCAATGGCGCACACCTGTGATCCCAGCAGCTAGGGAGGCTGAGGCAGGAGGATTGCGAGTTCACAGCCAGCCTCAGCAACGGTGAGGCACTAACAACTCAGTGAGACCCTGTCCCTAAATAAAATACAAAATAGGGCTGGGGATGAGGTTCAGTGATTGAGTGTCCCCAAGTTCAATTCCTGGTACCAAAAAAAAAAAAAAAAAAAAAAATTACCCTTGGGATAATCCCTCTCACAGTGTAGCAGGCCCATTAGAACTTAAGGCTAAAACAGAATGAGAGCAGTCCAGGGACAATGGTCAAACTCGCAGAGCACAGACTGTTAAATTCAGAGTTGAGTGGGCTTAAGAGGCTACAGCAGTGTCCTTCTGCCACATGGGCCTAGAAGTCAATGCCAGCCCAGACAGGAAGACACAGGTCACTCCTCCAGGCCTCCCTGCTGGCAGAGAGGACAACCAAGAGAACCAGCAATGCCAGTCCTGGGCAGCATGGGACCAGCAGCCTGACCTGACGCCCCGGGAGTGCATCTACCAGAGCTTCTCAAGGGACCACACAGGTCCAGGGAAATTCATGGGTCAAGGAAGCCTGAGGCCTGGGAAAGAAAAGCAGACGGAAGAGGAAGTGACTCAGGAAAAGTCACCTCCTGATGTTTCTTTATAGCTCTCTCTAGTTTGGTGATCAGGACGGGGCTGGTGAGAGATTTTATAGGACTGTCCTGTCTACAGTCTCTAAAAATGGGAGGGCACAGAGAGGCAGAACCTTGCAGATGGGAAAATTAGGAACCACCTGCTGCTTGCACAGGGCTGGGTTTTACTAATTAATATTGTTGCTGTTTGGGGCTGGGGACATAGCTCAGTTGGTAGAGTACTTGCCTTGCATGCACAAGGCCCTGGGTTCAATCCTCAGCACCACAAAAACAAAAAAGTAAAAAATATTGTTGCTGTATGTTATCTTTAAAGACATGGTATAACCAAACAACTAACTGGATCAAAAACTGCATATAATTTTTAAAACGCAATAAGTGGCCCTCCAAAAATATAAATCCTTCACCATTTGTGCCCAAATCTACCAGCAGTGCCACATGTGGGGGCACAAGTAAGTTTCCCTTTGTGACAGGGTAACACCACAGCACTGGACTCCCTGGACCTACGGGGTCTCTCTCACTTCAAGTACATCTGCCCTGTGACGTTCAAAGAGTTCCAGACTGTGGTTCCCAGGCCTCCTGTACCACCTACTTAAGGTGCTCCTTATTCCAGCCCCATTCAATCAGGCTCCTAGGTGGCAGGACCCCAGCCCACTAAAGTATTTATGGGTTGTTTTGTCATTGCCCCACCCCATCCCAGGGCTATGGATGGAACCCAGAGCCTCAAGCAGGCTAAGCACACATTCTACCACTGAGTTACAGTCCCAGACCCCTCTCAAGTATGACAGCCACCATATCACTCCTGCTGTGGATACCAGTGACACTCTCCATGAAGTGCACAGAATGCCCAACACCCTGTCAGTGACAAAGCATTGTTTACCGTGGCAGTGAGGGAGAGGGACGGATCCTCCCTCTCTGGAATTTACTTCTGTGTAAATGACACATGTTCATTAGCATCATATATCACACTCCTGACTCGACATGAGGTGGTGGCCTAGGTGAGGGTGTCTGTTCTGAAGGCTGCCAAAGAGGTTCAAGTCTTAGGACCAGGCTGACCGCAGCAGACTGGCTTCGTGCCCTTGCTGCCCAGTCAGCCCGGACACTCCTGCTCACCTCTCAAAGCCCAGCTCCATGCCTCCTGTGATGACTTCCTTAAAGAAGGCCCCCTTGCCCTCACCCCTCTAGATGTGCCTGGTCCCTCCTCATTGGCACCTGGGTGTTAGCTACTGCACATATCACACAATGACCTGCCTCCTTTACTAGAGTTCAAGGTCTGAAACATCATCTTGTTGATCTTGGTTACCCCAGTACACTCCAAAATATTTAGTACTCCAGTGAGTACTCAGTAAATGCTGAATGGGGCAGGGGATGGTCTTCATAACCTACATTTGATCATAGCATACAAGCTAAAATAGGCTAGGGTCCAAATGCCAGACCCAGCATGTGAAAGCACAGACTGGTGTGAAGAGTTTGGTCTCTGGAGTCCAACAGACTCAGGCTTGATCCCCGGTGCTGCCACTTCCTAACTTGTGGGCCTGGACAAAGCACTTCATCTCACCTCTCAGCAACCTGGATTCTATAAAATAGTGGCAACAGGTGGAGTCCCATCACTGGGCTGTTTCAGAGATTCAATATGTGCAGAAAGAGCCAAGCTCGACACCTGGCACATGGTGAGCACGCCAAAGAAGCAGGGTAGCTGCTATCACTATTAAACTGTGGTTAGTATGATGGGGCCATTATCAACATCCTTCCTGGATGACACCAGTAATATTCCAGGGCTTAGGAAGGTGCACTCAGGCTCACCAAGGTCAGGGAAAGCAGACCTCAAGGAGACACTGTGAGGGGAGGTCAGAGCAGGAAGTGTGCAGTCTAGGTAGCTTCTGGAGAGGCAGTGCAGTACTCAGGTTAATCACAGACATGGTGCCAGCCTGCCGGGTCTGAGTGCAGCTGCGCCGTTTATCGGCTAGATGATCTTGAGCAAGCTCCGTCATCTCGATGTGCCTCAGTTATCTCAGCTGTGAAGTGGGAGCAGCAATGGCACCTGAATACATCAGCACCTCTCTACTATGGTGGTGTTGGGAGGACTGAGTAAGTAAAGAGATAACTGGCAGTTACTATGTGTAGGACAAGTACTAGTCATTGTTGTTGTTGTTGCTTTGACAAATCTCCAAGAAAACAAACAAAAACTAGTATAACTGCTGCTAGGAGGCCTTTAGGACAGAGACAGGGTGGGGAGCGAGTTCTGAAGAGAATATTCAATAAGTCTGCTGGGCCTGGCACTGAAAAAGGGCTTGACACCGACCCTCAGATTCACAGTGACCCGGGGACATGCCCACTGCCATCACTGCACAAGCCAAAATAGTACCTGAGGCTGGGGACCATCAGTGACCACCCAGCTCCCTAGTCAGGAAGCACCAACGTCTGCTGTTCTTCAGCGTTTTCAGTGGACCCATTCTGCTGGTGGGTGGTGACATCACTGCGTGAAGACCAAGGCCATTCAATATGCGCTTATGGACATCTGACATCCTCTGGAGAGGGGCCTACCTACGACCCTGTCCAGGTTCTTAGTCCAAGTGCTCCTCCCCTCCCTCCCTCCCTCTTGGTGCTGGGGATGGAACCAGGGCCTCACACATGCCCAGCAACGCTCTCCCGCTGAGCCCCAGCCCCAGCTCCAGCCCTTTGCTGGATACACGTCACAAATATCTTCTCTGGCTGTGGCTTCCTTTTCATTCTCTTTATAATGGTGTTTTGATGACAGAGGCTCTTAATTTTAATGCAGTCTAAATTATCAATCTTTCCCTTTTACAGTGTTTTCTTTATAGCAAGATTAGGAAATCCTTACCTATTCCAAATTCATGAAAAAATGCTATTTTCTTCTAATAATGTTTCACCTTTTGCATTTTGCCTCAGAGTATATCTGGAACTGACTTTTGTGTATGGTGTAAGGTATGGGCCCAAATTGCCATTCCCTATGTGGTGGTCGATCTGACCCCACACCCTGCTGAAAGGCCCTCATTTCTCTACTGCACTCCAGTGCCATTAATCAGGTGCTGCATGTGTGAGTCCCTTTCTGGATGCTCTAGTTTCATTGATCTGTTTGTCTGTCCTTGTGCCAACACCATGCTGTTTAATTACTGAAGCTTTATAATAAACCAGCCAGGTGGTAATGTATGTCCTCCAACTTCTTCTGTTTTGTTTTGTTATTTTTGGTTTTTATTGGCCATCTAAACTCTTTGCAGTTTCAGATATATTTTAAAATCACCTTCCCAGGGCTGGAGTTGTGGCCCAAGTGGTAGCACGCTCGCCTAGCACCTGTGAGGCACTGGATTCCAACCTCAGCACCACATAAAAAATAAAGATATTGGCTCTCTCTCTCTCCCGGAGTTCCTCCATCGCCCTCGGTTGGTGAGCCTTCTGGGTCCTGCAGTGTGGCAGAGCCTGCAGTAACCGGAGCCTAGATCTGTGAGTTTCTGGAAACCTTCAGGGACACTTCAAATCGACAGAGTAGAAACTATCCTGCCTCAGAACCACCCGGCTAGATGGGGAGACGCACAAACAAAATGAAAAAACAAGGGAATAAAGTGCTCCAAACAAACCAAGCTGCTCCCATAAGAGAATCCATCGAAAAAATATCAGAGAAGGAGTTGAGGATGTATTTAGAAAAAATGTACTACAACTTAAAGAATTTTATAAGAGAGCAGGCACAGGAGTTTTGCAGTAAAATAACAGAATCTCTTCAGGAGATGAAAGATCGCTTCTGTGAAGATATATCAGAGGTCCTGAGAAGAAATAAAGAAGAAATCATTGAAGGGAAGGAATCACTAAACCAACTTAAAAGTTCAATGGAAAGTATCACCCACAGACAAGACCATTTGGAAGATGGAACCTCAGGCAA